CAACACCCAGGAGGAAAGAGCATTCTCACACCCAGCAGACAAGCTAAGGGAATACCTTGTCCACAGCATATGCCATTCCTTCCCTACAGACACTAGGGTGGGTCACAGTGAACAGAAACAGCATCGTCAAACAGACAACAGTGCTCTCAAAGGAAACACATGAGCCCACCACTAAGACTCACCAGATATTTGAGGAAAATCTGTAACCAGAAAAGCAAGGCACCAAACTCAACAGTAGAAAAACAAACATATAAACAAAAGGTGTACAGAAAAAAAGCCAATTTCAAAAAAAGACAATAATTGTCTTCAGAGGGAAAAGGAAAGCTATGACATCAATTAACAAGAATGGACTTTTTTTCATTTCCTAGAAATGAAAAATAAAATTGTAAAAAATTAAAAATTTAAGAGGTAGTTGATAGAGAATGCACTTGGTTGAAAAGCAAATTGCCATGCTGGCAGATCATGCTAACAAATTCTTTTAGAACTCAGAACCGAAAGACAAAGAGATGGGAACTGTGCATGGACAGTTGTAATATTTAAAGGACAGAAGAGGTAGTTCAGGAACTAGAAGTTCCAGAAAGAAAGAACAGGTATGGTGGAGGGAAGGAAATTTTATTTTTAATTATCAAATAAATTATCAATATGATGACCCTCAGGCTTGAACTTAAGGGTTTTCAGATTGAAATGGCTAAATGAAAGACACTAATACACAAAAAAATAGCCATACCTGGACCAACAATAGACTCACTGATATGAAATTTCATAAAAACAAAGAAAATATAGCCTGAAAATATCCAGAAAGGGAAAAAAAGGTATTTCAAAGAAGAAATAAGATCCACATTGATAATGACATCTATTAAGCAGCACTATATGCAAAGAGGTTATGGAAATTCATAGTGATGAGAGAAAGGAATTTTAACCTAGATTTCTATACCCAGTCAAACTGCCATTTAACTATGAAGGGGAATGAAAAGCTTCAGAAAGCTCCCCAGTCCTGAACTGTCTCTAAAAAAATTATTAGATGATGATTACCAGTAAAACTAAAAAGAAATCCAAGAAATAAATATGAGTATAAGAAACAGTGATGAGCAAAGAAACAAATATAACTTATAGGTGATAATAAATATGATAAACAACAATCTACAATGAAATCATCACTTGCTCTCAACAACTGGTAAGAGACTGAAGAGGCAGAGGAGTAGAAAGGCAGAGTAAAAGTGTGCTAAGGTCTCTGGGGAGAAAAAAGAGACAGACAGACAGAGGAGGAAATTTTAAGATATTGAGAAAAATTACAAATAAGTTTAAACATCTACATTTAAGCTACACTAGAGGTGTTGAAGAACAATGTACACTTTGAGGGAGAAAATGGAAAGTGCCAGCAACAGCGAAGAGCAAGTCAAACAACAAACAGCAAGAAAGGAAAAAAAACATCAAGTATAAGTGGAAAAAGTAAATTATGGTAGGAAGAAGAGCTCCAAACACAATCACAATAAATATAAACAGGTTAAAATAACCGATTAAAGATCAGGGACTCTGAGGTTGGCTAAGAAAGGCAAAAGCTGGCTATACTTTTTTCACCAGACCCACACTTAAAAACAAAATGCCCCAAGGCATTAAATTAAGAGATCAAGAAAGATAAGCCAAACAAGGGCTAACAGAAAAAAAACAAAACAAAAATGGGATACAAGGAGAAAAGTATTAAAAAGGACAAAGAGGAATGTTTTCCTATTGATGAAAGATATGACTCCCTAGGACGAACTTGAGCAGCTTGGATAAAAATGCTCTTGTCCGTCTTTCTTGAAATCTTGCCATCACTGGGATGGGTGTCTTTGTCAAATCAGTGAACAAACAAATTGCCAGCGTTTGTGAGGTTTCTGTTCTAGTGGAAGGCAGACAAATAAAAACTTAATAAATAATTGAGTTATAGAGTATATCAAATGGTGGTGAGTGTTAAAAAAGTAAAATACAATACAGAAGGGTCACAGGGAGCACAATTTCAAATGGGGCAAAAAAGGAAGGCCTTACTGAGAAGGTGAGAGAAACAAAACAAAGACTTCAGGTTGTTGAGGGAGCAACCGTGCTGGTTACTGAAGGAAGAGGATTCCAGGCAGAGGACATAGCAAGAGCTGGAGGGGGAAGTAGGTCATGATGGTAGAGAAAGTTAGTAATGGGGGAAAAAAACAGGTAACCATGAAACAGAAATTAAGGTTCTCTCCCTGAATGCTTTAAGGAAGTTTCAAAACAAAACATGTGAGATCAACTATCTGAAAAATGACATAATCCAAAAGATTACTAAAAGGAAGAATTTTAGAAATACGTGACATGAGGTTAAGGAGACCTGTATTGTATGGAATCTAATCTAATCTGATCTAATCTAATCTAATCTAATCTAATCAAAGAGGCTAGTGGATTGTGACTACAACTAAATAGCTTAAGCATACTAAGCTGTATTTTACCCACTGTGAGGAAGACTGTATTAAAAGAATTTGGTTTGAGCAGGATTCATAAAGGAGAGACAAAAGTTGACAATGTGTTTCCAGCAATGTCCATGGGAAAGAGTATACTGATTAGTAGACTTGAAAAAAATGGGTTTATTTAGCAGATATAGATCTTCAATTTATGATGGGGTTATATCCAGATATTACAGGGCATTGTAAGGTGAAAATGCATTGAATACACCTAACCTACTGAACATCATGGCTTAACCTAGCCTACCTTAAACATGTTTGGAGCACTTACATTAACCTACAGTTGGGTAACATCATCTAACACAAAGCCTCTTTTATAATAAAGTGTTGAATATCGCATGTAATTTATTGATTACTGGAATACTGTACTGAAAGTGAAAATCAGAATGGCTGTATGGGTACTGGAATGTTTTCCTATTGATGAAAGATATGACTCCCTAGGACGAACTTGAGCAGCTTGGATAAAAATGCTCTTGTCCGTCTTTCTTGAAATCTTGCCATCACTGGGATGGGTGTCTTTGTCAAATCAGTGAACAAACAAATTGCCAGCGTTTGTGAGGTTTCTGTTCTAGTGGAAGGCAGACAAATAAAAACTTAATAAATAATTGAGTTATAGAGTATATCAAATGGTGGTGAGTGTTAAAAAAGTAAAATACAATACAGAAGGGTCACAGGGAGCACAATTTCAAATGGGGCAAAAAAGGAAGGCCTTACTGAGAAGGTGAGAGAAACAAAACAAAGACTTCAGGTTGTTGAGGGAGCAACCGTGCTGGTTACTGAAGGAAGAGGATTCCAGGCAGAGGACATAGCAAGAGCTGGAGGGGGAAGTAGGTCATGATGGTAGAGAAAGTTAGTAATGGGGGAAAAAAACAGGTAACCATGAAACAGAAATTAAGGTTCTCTCCCTGAATGCTTTAAGGAAGTTTCAAAACAAAACATGTGAGATCAACTATCTGAAAAATGACATAATCCAAAAGATTACTAAAAGGAAGAATTTTAGAAATACGTGACATGAGGTTAAGGAGACCTGTATTGTATGGAATCTAATCTAATCTGATCTAATCTAATCTAATCTAATCTAATCAAAGAGGCTAGTGGATTGTGACTACAACTAAATAGCTTAAGCATACTAAGCTGTATTTTACCCACTGTGAGGAAGACTGTATTAAAAGAATTTGGTTTGAGCAGGATTCATAAAGGAGAGACAAAAGTTGACAATGTGTTTCCAGCAATGTCCATGGGAAAGAGTATACTGATTAGTAGACTTGAAAAAAATGGGTTTATTTAGCAGATATAGATCTTCAATTTATGATGGGGTTATATCCAGATATTACAGGGCATTGTAAGGTGAAAATGCATTGAATACACCTAACCTACTGAACATCATGGCTTAACCTAGCCTACCTTAAACATGTTTGGAGCACTTACATTAACCTACAGTTGGGTAACATCATCTAACACAAAGCCTCTTTTATAATAAAGTGTTGAATATCGCATGTAATTTATTGATTACTGGAATACTGTACTGAAAGTGAAAATCAGAATGGCTGTATGGGTACAGAATGTTTGTAAACATATCAGCTGTTTATTCTCATGACTGTGTGGCTGATTGGGAAACGCAGCTTGCTGCAGTCGCCCAGCATCACAACAGACTATAGTACCACTCAGAGCGAGCCTGGGAAAAGATGCAAATTCAAAATTCAAAATTCCAAGTATAGTTTCCACTGAGTGCATATCGCTTTCACACCACTGTAAAGTTGAAAAGTAGTTAAATCAAACCGTCAAAAGTCAGGGATAGTCTGTATATTTTTCATTTTGATCATAAAGATAGAAGTATCTCGGGATTATCAGGTCATTAAAATCTTCCCAATGACACCAGGATTGGAAAGCAATCTTATTAGAGTAGTTTCTTTTACAGACTGCCTACAACAGGAGAGTGTGCTTATCAAAGGGCTTGAGTGTCTAGTCCCAAGCAGGCTGCCAATATATATTAATAAAAAGGCATGCTGATTTGTTTGGTATCTGAAGATGAGTTTGGTTCTAGTCAGCAGCCTGAAACTATCTGAATACATAGAAACAAAAGGGACCTAGAAGGTAAGAGCCAAACTTTGAAATGTAGTTAGCATACTGAGGCGAGCCTCCTAGGCATGGCCTATACCTCATCCTCCATTCACCTAACCACGTGTGAGATACTGTACTGAAGAAAGAGCATTAGAAAACCATCTAGGACTCTGACACTAATAACTCTGATGCCATGAGCAGGGTCATTTAATCTCTCTGAAGCTCAGAGTTACAGACATTTTAAAATGGGAGTAAAAATAGCTCTTCTGTCTGTCTCACTCATTTGTTTCAAGGCTCTGAATCTAAATCTAAAACAAACAGCTATCTGAATAGAAGGTATTAATGCTATCATCATCATATGCCCTGCAGCCTGAGTATATAATTGATATACTGAAGCACATACAATTATCTGAGAATTGAAGACAAGATGAAAAACCACAAACCCACTGAACAAAATATAGGAAATCCTACCTCTCAGCAACTGGTTTGGCAATGTTTTCAAAAATGGTCTCTTGGTTTGCATCCTGATCAAAAATCCTTTGAAATCTGCAAATATGAAAGCAGCAATTATTTAAAAGCTTAGCCTTCTTCAAACACAGTTGGATTAATAATTTTTTTCCTAAAAGCTTTGTAAATTACCCCATATTTACATCACTGGGCTTACCTAACCTAACACAATGTTTGCCCTGTAATCCCAACCACACTGTGCTGTTGTACCCCAGTACACAAATGGTGGGCAAACACTATTGCTTTGACAAGATCTGCACAATAAATCCCTCTGAAATACTGCAGCAGCTTTGAACCAAATAATAAACTGTGTGTTTTTTAGCTCTCAAGAGAGGCAGTGTCTGCAATTGGAATCAATTTCAAAACTAGATGAGGGCATGAAATGGAAACCCAGGAACAGGATGTAAACAGCCGAAGAACTTCTGATGTCTGACCTGTAAGAAAAGAATGCAGCTGTGAAATGTATGATTATTGGACTTCCTTTTTAAAATTTGAACTGAAGTTTAGTTTCCATTAATTAGGTACTGCATCCTAGCATCCACCACCTAATTCTCAGGATAGTTTTGTTTCATTTTGTTGATCATGAGTCAAAAGTCAAAAAGTAAACTAAGACAGACCTGTCCCACAAAGAGAAGTTTTTATCAGATTGGCAAGGCTAGGGGCTTGGGGAGGTGGAATGGTGTCAATTGCACTCTCCTTGCAGTGGCACTCTGACTTAGTCAGCACAGCATCACGAGCACAGTGTCAGAGCTGGGGAAGGAGACACACAACCTATTCTCTCACAGTGTAGTGAGCTGCTGCCCAAAGTATGGCTCCCATTAAAACATCAGGAAGAGAAGACTGGGTGGGGTAATGACAAAAGAGGAGAACGGAAAGGAGGAGAGAGGAAAAGAGGGTAAGGAGAAGGGGCTGGGGGAGAGAAAGATCATAACCATATTAGGTAAGATGTTGACAGTTGGTGAATCCTCCATGAAGGGTATAGGAGAATTGATTGCACTATTCTTCCAAGTCTTCTGCATATTTAAAAGTTTTCAAATAAAAATTGGGAGTAGGGGGGTGCAGAGGGGTGCCAGCAGCTTTAAAGTAGGACCTTTAAAACAAATGAGGGCATCCTGAGTAGCTCTGCACACAGCTCAGGAGCCTTTGGTCTATGAGTCAGCCTACATAAGTGAACTGGTCCACATTCACTTAAAGTAGAGACTACATGAAATGTAGAACTGTTTCCACTTGCAAGGAGTTCAGAAGCATGTCTGGAGCTGGGTAGGAAATATAAAAGGAATGAAATTAATTGTCTTTAATCAACATTAATTTCAAAAGATCCCTGTAGCTTATCAACCTCCCTTTTGAAGAAGCGAATAGTGAAACTGTATACAAAGTAAGATTGTAAGGCACTCTGTCTACTATGTTGCTTATCAGGCAAGATTATATTTTAGACAGTAATGTTTACCAAGTGTCCCCAGAACACTCCTCAGAACCCTGATACAGGAGCATCAGAGCTTCAGAGATGAATGGGGTAACACGGGGATGTGGCCGCTCAAGCGCTCTTCAGAGCGCTGCCTACTGTGGTGTTTCAGCTTGGCCTCAGCAGTGCTTTTGAAGGTGGTAATGCTAAGGCTGACCCTGTATGTACCTGGTCGGTGAGGCCTAGGTGATTAACCATGCCTGACTCCACCTCCTTAACAGGAATTACATGTACCACCACATAAACCAGAGATAGCAGGAGTTTCAATGAATCATACAATGGGTATTAACATTAAATATCATCATCCCCTCAAATTTTTTTATTTTATAGAATGTAGTTGCATAGTAAACTTTGAGGCATTATGTATGGTCAGCTAGCTTCTGAAAACCACTGAAGAACAAAACAGAATCATACTGTTTAACAAGGTCAGTCTAACCTTTTACAGAGGAAGAAGTTGAGGCTCAGGAAGATAAAACAATATATTTGTAGTCTTGGAGCTAATCAATAACATGCCTTGAGACATAATAACTTAGATTTCCTGATCCCTAGGAGGCCCTTTCATTTATTAGGAAGTTGTGTAGACTTTTTCTAAACTCTTTCAAATTTGGCATATGCTGATCTCTTCCCATTCCAAACCTGTTCTTTCTGGTCTTCGATATCCCAGTAAATGGCAGCTCCATCCTTCCAAATGGTCAGCTCATTAGGCATTCGTGACTCTTCTCTTTCCATTACACTCTATATCCAACCCATCAGCAAACTGTCAGCTCTGACCTTCAAAACACATCCAGAATCCAAACGTTTCTCAACTTTCCACTTGCTACTTCACTGGCACAAACTGCTGTAATTGCTTGCCTGGTCTCCTTTGCAACAGCCCAACTGGTCTCCCTTGCCCCCTTATGGTCCATTTTCCACATGTCAGCAAGAATGATCCTGCAAAACTAAGTGAGATCATCTCATTCTCCTGCTCAAAACCCTCTAGTATCTTCCCATAGCACTTAGGGAGGGAAAAGCTTACAATGACTTTTCCCCAAAACACCCCTTATAGTGAGTTACAAGGTTCCATATGATCTGGCAAATCTGCTGCCCCCTTAACCTGCTTTTTCCCTCTCCCCCTTGCTTACTTTCCTCCAGCCACACAGATCCCTTTACTTTTCCTCAAACATGTCAGGCACTTTCCTATCTCAGGGACTTCACTCTTGGCTATTTCCTCAGCCTGGAATCCCCACCCTCAAATATTTGAATGTCTGGCTTCCTCACCTCCTTTAAATCTTTGCTCAGTATCACCTTCCTGTAACACTTACCTGACTGCCCTATGAGATACTGCAGCTATCCCTCCCTTCTGCTCTCCGCATCCCAGCATTTCTTATTCCCCTTGCTTGCCTTACTGTTCTCCATGGCACATCACACTTTCTGACACACATTTTCCTTATTGATCTGCCTCCTCCCACTAAAATGTAAGCACCATAAGAACAGGAGCTCTGTGTGTATTCGCTGCTGTATCCTAGCCATTAAAACAGCATACAGTGTGTGATCAATAAGTATTTATTGATTGAGTAAATTTTCTTGGGAGAAAATTTAACATAAGTGTAAGTTAAATAGTTTGTTAATTTTTTCATTTAAAATATTAAAACCAACATTTTTAGTTCAGAAATCTAGAAATAACGAGTAAGAGATTTAAAAATAAGTAAATAGCACTTTATCAATAAGCATATGATTAAATGCACCATTTATACAGCTGACCCTTGAACAACACAGTTTCAACCACACAGGTCCACTTATACATGGATGTTTTTCAAAAAATATATTGGAAAAATCCTTGGAAAGTACAACAGTTTGAAAAAACATTTTCTTTTTTCTCGCTTACTTTATCGTAAGAATATAGCATATAAACAAATATGTGCTAATCAACTGTTTATTTTTAGTAAGGCTTCTTGTCCACAGTAGGCTATTAGTAGCTCAGTTTTAGGGTAATCAAAATTATATGTGGATTTTCAGCTGCACAGCATGGGGGACCCAGTCAGCACCCCAATACACATGTTGTTCAGGGGTCAACTATATGTACATAATGTAAAGAATACTTTGGAAAGGGCCAACAAATAGAGACATGGTCAACTGTTTATTAACAAACAAATAGAATCATGCTGAATAAAATGTTTTAGCAAATTGTGGCTTTAGAGAGACTAGCCTAACCTGGATGTCATGAAGTCATAGCTACTAAGTAAGGTATGCAGCATGCTTACCTCCGTGGGGGAATGCCCCCTCCAGAAAAAATAAGTCTTGCAGTATGAGGCTAGTCCTTAAAGTAGAATGAAAGGCAATGTGGTGCCAAAAAGACAAGGTGAGGACCATCTCACTGTACAACCATGGGCTAGAAACCCTGCTGTGCTTATTGTAAAAGGGGTGCAAGAAGATGGAGTGAAGGTGGGGGTAGAGGGATGTAAATGAGAGAAAAAGGGTAGAGTTGTGAAGACCAAAGAAAATCTTAGGAGATAAAAAAAAAAAGAAAAGAAAAATGAGAAAGAGAGAAAAAGGAAGGAGTGAGAGCAAGAGAGAACCATAAAAAAATATCTGGGATGGTTTGGTGCAAAGGGCAAGGGCAGAAATAGTACCAAAAAAGAGCCAGTGTACAACAGCCGAGAGAGAAACGCAAGAGAACAATTAGTATTCCTTCAGCAGGACCCAGAAATCCAACATGTACATTTAGGCCAGAGATCAAATAAGGGTTCAACTTGGGCACAAATGTCTCCAAAAATCAAATGCAGAGATTAAACGAAATGACATAATCCGAAACTGGAGACTAAAACAGCATGAAAAGCAATAATCCCCAAATTCAAGGCCTGGCTACTAGAGGAGTATTTGGACTGCAGGCACTGATGACATCAGTGAGTGGCTGACTGGGGCTTTTCACCCCAACTGTACAGGTCAGCCCTGTCCCAGAGAAATATAATGCCATCTGTCAAAGTGACTTATATTTAAATTTAATTTTTATTTAAAAATAGTAATTTAAGATTTTCCAGCAGCCATTTTTTTAAAGTAAAAAGAAACAGGTGGAATTAATTATAATCATTTATTTTTAACCCAACATATCAAAACACGTATCATTTTAATATGGAATCTATATGAAAAAACTGTTGAGACAGTTTATAGTTTTTTTTTTTATACTAAGCCTTCAAATATTCTTGATGTACTTTACACTTAGAGCACATGTCAATTCAGACTAGCTACATTTCAAGTGCTTAGGAGCTCCATGCGGCTAAGGGCTGCTGTATTGGACAGTGCAGACATATAGAGTGTACATATGTGCATATGAGGTCCATATATCTTTATGTTATAAAGAAGGCTCACTTTCTTCTATACAGCAGAAATATATCCTATTTTCAACTTTGGGCACAGCAGTGAAAAGACAACTCGAACTCTATCTACCAGGTGAGATAGGGAACTGAACTACAGTCTACCCAAGAAATGGTGCTAATGATTTCACAGTGAATATTAATGCAGCCCAAGAGTTAGTTAAATAGTAAAACAGAAACCAAAGAAAAGAAAGACACACTTACTTAAATTTGTAGCTTTCTCGCTTATTATTCACAAATCCATCTGCCAAATCACGAGGTAAGATAATTTCCAAGCGAGGTGTTAATTTTTCATCTTCATTTATGGAATAAATCTGCAAACATGAGGACAACAAATGAATATAAAATGCTAAAATTATGGTTTGAACTATGCCTATGTCATCATGATGTACACTTTGATGGTATAAAAAACTACTTTTAAGATAAGTCATAACATAGTACAATTTAGATAGTTTCCCTCTTTGAACCATGTGCAGACTCAAACAAATATATGCAACTAAAAATGAGGTAAAATCTAAATCAATACTCTATCAAAGCTCGGATCCAATTGGAAAGATCAAGTATTCAAATTTGACATTTGAGTATCTCTGTTACCATTAATAGTCCCATAAGCAACATATTTCTTAAATATTGCTTTGGAATTATGTACCAGAAATTAACATTTTGCCACAACCAACAATCATTTCTGAGCATTTACAAAAAGCTAGACAAAGATAAAAGGACTAGGTCTGATAATGGCAGCTCCATCCTTCCAAATGGTCAGCTCATTAGGCATTCGTGACTCTTCTCTTTCCATTACACTCTATATCCAACCCATCAGCAAACTGTCAGCTCTGACCTTCAAAACACATCCAGAATCCAAACGTTTCTCAACTTTCCACTTGCTACTTCACTGGCACAAACTGCTGTAATTGCTTGCCTGGTCTCCTTTGCAACAGCCCAACTGGTCTCCCTTGCCCCCTTATGGTCCATTTTCCACATGTCAGCAAGAATGATCCTGCAAAACTAAGTGAGATCATCTCATTCTCCTGCTCAAAACCCTCTAGTATCTTCCCATAGCACTTAGGGAGGGAAAAGCTTACAATGACTTTTCCCCAAAACACCCCTTATAGTGAGTTACAAGGTTCCATATGATCTGGCAAATCTGCTGCCCCCTTAACCTGCTTTTTCCCTCTCCCCCTTGCTTACTTTCCTCCAGCCACACAGATCCCTTTACTTTTCCTCAAACATGTCAGGCACTTTCCTATCTCAGGGACTTCACTCTTGGCTATTTCCTCAGCCTGGAATCCCCACCCTCAAATATTTGAATGTCTGGCTTCCTCACCTCCTTTAAATCTTTGCTCAGTATCACCTTCCTGTAACACTTACCTGACTGCCCTATGAGATACTGCAGCTATCCCTCCCTTCTGCTCTCCGCATCCCAGCATTTCTTATTCCCCTTGCTTGCCTTACTGTTCTCCATGGCACATCACACTTTCTGACACACATTTTCCTTATTGATCTGCCTCCTCCCACTAAAATGTAAGCACCATAAGAACAGGAGCTCTGTGTGTATTCGCTGCTGTATCCTAGCCATTAAAACAGCATACAGTGTGTGATCAATAAGTATTTATTGATTGAGTAAATTTTCTTGGGAGAAAATTTAACATAAGTGTAAGTTAAATAGTTTGTTAATTTTTTCATTTAAAATATTAAAACCAACATTTTTAGTTCAGAAATCTAGAAATAACGAGTAAGAGATTTAAAAATAAGTAAATAGCACTTTATCAATAAGCATATGATTAAATGCACCATTTATACAGCTGACCCTTGAACAACACAGTTTCAACCACACAGGTCCACTTATACATGGATGTTTTTCAAAAAATATATTGGAAAAATCCTTGGAAAGTACAACAGTTTGAAAAAACATTTTCTTTTTTCTCGCTTACTTTATCGTAAGAATATAGCATATAAACAAATATGTGCTAATCAACTGTTTATTTTTAGTAAGGCTTCTTGTCCACAGTAGGCTATTAGTAGCTCAGTTTTAGGGTAATCAAAATTATATGTGGATTTTCAGCTGCACAGCATGGGGGACCCAGTCAGCACCCCAATACACATGTTGTTCAGGGGTCAACTATATGTACATAATGTAAAGAATACTTTGGAAAGGGCCAACAAATAGAGACATGGTCAACTGTTTATTAACAAACAAATAGAATCATGCTGAATAAAATGTTTTAGCAAATTGTGGCTTTAGAGAGACTAGCCTAACCTGGATGTCATGAAGTCATAGCTACTAAGTAAGGTATGCAGCATGCTTACCTCCGTGGGGGAATGCCCCCTCCAGAAAAAATAAGTCTTGCAGTATGAGGCTAGTCCTTAAAGTAGAATGAAAGGCAATGTGGTGCCAAAAAGACAAGGTGAGGACCATCTCACTGTACAACCATGGGCTAGAAACCCTGCTGTGCTTATTGTAAAAGGGGTGCAAGAAGATGGAGTGAAGGTGGGGGTAGAGGGATGTAAATGAGAGAAAAAGGGTAGAGTTGTGAAGACCAAAGAAAATCTTAGGAGATAAAAAAAAAAAGAAAAGAAAAATGAGAAAGAGAGAAAAAGGAAGGAGTGAGAGCAAGAGAGAACCATAAAAAAATATCTGGGATGGTTTGGTGCAAAGGGCAAGGGCAGAAATAGTACCAAAAAAGAGCCAGTGTACAACAGCCGAGAGAGAAACGCAAGAGAACAATTAGTATTCCTTCAGCAGGACCCAGAAATCCAACATGTACATTTAGGCCAGAGATCAAATAAGGGTTCAACTTGGGCACAAATGTCTCCAAAAATCAAATGCAGAGATTAAACGAAATGACATAATCCGAAACTGGAGACTAAAACAGCATGAAAAGCAATAATCCCCAAATTCAAGGCCTGGCTACTAGAGGAGTATTTGGACTGCAGGCACTGATGACATCAGTGAGTGGCTGACTGGGGCTTTTCACCCCAACTGTACAGGTCAGCCCTGTCCCAGAGAAATATAATGCCATCTGTCAAAGTGACTTATATTTAAATTTAATTTTTATTTAAAAATAGTAATTTAAGATTTTCCAGCAGCCATTTTTTTAAAGTAAAAAGAAACAGGTGGAATTAATTATAATCATTTATTTTTAACCCAACATATCAAAACACGTATCATTTTAATATGGAATCTATATGAAAAAACTGTTGAGACAGTTTATAGTTTTTTTTTTATACTAAGCCTTCAAATATTCTTGATGTACTTTACACTTAGAACACATGTCAATTCAGACTAGCTACATTTCAAGTGCTTAGGAGCTCCATGCGGCTAAGGGCTGCTGTATTGGACAGTGCAGACATATAGAGTGTACATATGTGCATATGAGGTCCATATATCTTTATGTTATAAAGAAGGCTCACTTTCTTCTATACAGCAGAAATATATCCTATTTTCAACTTTGGGCACAGCAGTGAAAAGACAACTCGAACTCTATCTACCAGGTGAGATAGGGAACTGAACTACAGTCTACCCAAGAAATGGTGCTAATGATTTCACAGTGAATATTAATGCAGCCCAAGAGTTAGTTAAATAGTAAAACAGAAACCAAAGAAAAGAAAGACACACTTACTTAAATTTGTAGCTTTCTCGCTTATTATTCACAAATCCATCTGCCAAATCACGAGGTAAGATAATTTCCAAGCGAGGTGTTAATTTTTCATCTTCATTTATGGAATAAATCTGCAAACATGAGGACAACAAATGAATATAAAATGCTAAAATTATGGTTTGAACTATGCCTATGTCATCATGATGTACACTTTGATGGTATAAAAAACTACTTTTAAGATAAGTCATAACATAGTACAATTTAGATAGTTTCCCTCTTTGAACCATGTGCAGACTCAAACAAATATATGCAACTAAAAATGAGGTAAAATCTAAATCAATACTCTATCAAAGCTCGGATCCAATTGGAAAGATCAAGTATTCAAATTTGACATTTGAGTATCTCTGTTACCATTAATAGTCCCATAAGCAACATATTTCTTAAATATTGCTTTGGAATTATGTACCAGAAATTAACATTTTGCCACAACCAACAATCATTTCTGAGCATTTACAAAAAGCTAGACAAAGATAAAAGGACTAGGTCTGAGACTTCTCAGAGAGCTCAAAAGAATGCTCTAATTCAAGTTATATTCAAAGAAGCCTAAGTTTCCATGAGACATATTCAGGCATTTGATAAAAGACATATGGTTTCAAAAGACACATGTAATTCATGTCTTTGATGTCATTTTCAATGTTCTCCTCCCAGCTCAGCCACTAATTAGCAAGTGACCTGGGAGAAATCACTTAACCTCTCTAAGCTGATAGGGAAATGAAGGGTTTTAACCAATCCCCTTACAACTGCAAATTCTCTGGTTCTCTTCTTGGTTACCTCCTCCTTTATTTACCGGCCAGGAAAAATCAAGAGTCAAGCCTATAAAGAGGTCGTATGTAATAAAGAAAAGCATAAGATTTGGTGTCCGAAGACCTGGGTCCAAAGCTGAATTCAATTTACCAGCTGTGTGACCAGCCACCACTTTCAGAAACTCAGTTCCTTATACATGAAATGAGGAAAGCAGAACTGCCTCCCTTACAAGATTGCTGTGGGGATCTAATGATGTCATGGAAATGGAAGCATTTTGTAATGCACCATAAAAAGTTAGTCATTAGATTTAGAGGTTTCTTAAAAAGACCTCTTGTCTTTCACCAGGAAATAAAATTCTTTCTAACACGCAATACTTGCAAAACTTCCTGTTTAAGACCCATTTAGATGCTTGATTATGGGGGGAAAGTCATATTCTTAAACAAGTAAAAGCCTACCTAAATCTCCCAAAAGTCTGAATAATTTTCCTAAGTAGATTTTTATTGAATCCTATCATTTCAAATGTGAAGAATTCATGTAGAAAAGTCATCGTGTAAAACAAAATTATTTGTAGGAAGTAATGGCATCAGGTTCAAGGCTTTCTGGCTGTTTTCTCAAGAGACATATAAAAATTATATCCTGCAGAGCACTATATTAAAAAAAAAGTTAATGGCTAGACAGGTGAGTGGGGGTGTGTAAGACATGAAACATACAGGAGTGAGGGACCCCCTTTAATGTGAGTCACACATTTTAAAAAATTCCGTAGCAGTCAAGATTCAGAAAAAAGGGACCATGTACTAGAATAAGAATAGTGACCCTCTACCACTCTGATTAAGACATTCTCCAAGGCATTAAGAAAATTCCCTTATAACCAGGAAACCTGTTTAGTCTAATAGACTGGCTTTCAACCCTTAGTCATAACAATATTTATATTTGAGATAGTTTCTTTTAGACCTAGAAGACAATTAGAACAAATGCAAGGACGAATATATAGAAAATGTTTTGAAATGCACTAAGCACTATACAAGTGAAAAGCACTGCCATTATTAAAATTATCACAGAGGCTAGTCTTATGTATCTCTTAATTTGTTAATCTATACATTATTATAATTTAACTTACAGTGCTTTAAGGAAAAAGACTAATGAAATAATGGAGCCACAAAATGAAGAGGAAAGAGAGAAAAATATGAGTGAATTCATTCTTGGTTGAATGTTACTGGCATCATTTCTGGTCAGAGAAAACAACCAGAAAATATTTGGTTGGCAAAAGATAGGGCCCTAAAAGTGGGATTCCTAAGAGAGAGTAGGGATACACTAACTCAAGATTTGTCTATCTGTGTTCTCTTATTTTTGTGTATGTGGCACAATGTTGCATCTTGGTAAGAATCTAGCATTAAGGAAAATACAGTATGACACTTAAAAATATATCCTGGAGTATCAAACAATACATTTTACAGAATCTCAGCAAAGAAATGCAAAAGGAGGCACATTAAAATAACCCAAACACTGCAGTTTAAGAAAAGAGGAGGTTCAAAATTAAATCCAAGATTTTCCATTAACTACCACCCTAACCCCCTTACCTCCCATCCTCACCTGCCTGTCCTCCCAATTCCTGCCCTTATCAATCCTATCAGATTATCATATCTAAGCACCTGCTTTGGACTGCTGAGTCTATGTAGATAAACTCAAAATTTTTAGCTAAGAATCTTAGGAGGAGGAACATTACATATAATACGCTTTTTACATTTGATGCACTTTTAAAAAGATTGTAAGTGAATGCAAGAGCAGAGAAAATGGGAAGATAACCACGGCTTCTTTCTACACTGCTTTATTCCTTAAAAAAAAAAAAGCAAGCCAATATTTTCTTTGGAGTTTTCTGATGCATCTTCTAAATGTATTCCATGAGTAAAAAGACTGTTGATGATGATAATGACAAAGGCACTATATTCTCCTTGTTTTAAACAAATTACATGAGGCAACTGCTAAATTACGAGATGCTATAATGTTATATATACATACACACATTGTGGATATGGGATAAACATAAAATATTATTAATAATATACCCATTCCAGGCACTCATGAAAATGACCATATCTTCACTTTGTGAAGCAAAAAGCTTTTGTCTGAAGAGCAAAAAGCTTTGTCATTAAAAATCCTTAAAATAAGGCTTCTGCCACTCACTCGGTGGATGGCTTGGCCACATTATTGAAACTATCTGAGACTCAAGTTTCCTCATCCATAAAATGAGGAAAATGAAATCAATTTTGCAGGATTCTCATTAGAATCAAAGATAATGTAGATAAAGGACCTAACTATGCTATTTTCTAAGGAGAAAAAACAGTGTTTTGACACACTGAAGGATACACAGCATCTCTGCTCAGGGCAAGGGCAATGTCTTAGTCTTCATACCTCCGAGTAAAGTTTGGTTCTCTTGTGCCTCTGAGTGTAGTTCACTAGAGGAAGCACTTAGTAAATGCTCAATTATTGTTTTCTGAATGAAGAGTTTATGTGTATTGTTTGTTTCAGGATGCATAAATACCTACATCTGCAATGGCTATGTCAGTGGTATCTGTTTATGCTGCAGAATGACAACGTAATCAGTCAACAAATTCCTAGGCTGTGCTCAGGGCCATAGTGTTCCTTTCGGGCACCTACCTGTATTTTTTGTATCATCTCATACTTGTATTGACATTCATCTCTTGCTTGCACGTTTTGCCCAAATGCGAAACATTAGTTTGGGGGAATCTGTGTGTGCACCTGACCGCTTCCTAGAAAGGCGTGTTAAGGGTGCGTGGTGAGGCACAGCCTCTGTGAGTGTGCAAACAGGCACATACACACGCGTCTGCCTGTGTGAACATGTGTGCCCGGGAGCTTGTCTGTGGCTCGGTGCAGGGTCTGAGCCCGCAGGGGCAGCCTGGGAGGGAGAGGCCGGGTGTCTGCCCGCGTCCCTCACAGCGGTGCGCAGGTATCGATCTGCGTGGCTGACTGGGAGCCTCAGCTGGTGCGCCGGACTCCAGAGTCTCCGACGCCCCATGCTGAGACCCCCACCCACCCCAGGCCCCACGCGTGCCGCCCCTCCCCCGGCCCAGGCGGCCCGCCGCGCCGGCGCCCTCGCTGCTCGGTCCCGTACCCCTTGTTGCTGCTTCCGGACAGTGGGCTTCACCCTGGCGAAAATCTGGATGGTCTGCTTCACCATCTCCTCCCTGGCTTTGCACTGACCCTTGACCTCTCTCAGGCCCTGGCTCGCAAAACTTCTGACTCCCACCACTTCCGGCGAGCCGCAGCCTTAGCAACAATAACTAGGGACACTACCCAAGGAGCACCGCGCCAACTGGGCCCGCCTCCTCTCCCTAATTGGTTGCAGGCGGGACGGGGAGGACTGAAGGGGAGCCTGGCGGCGAAGTTGGGGTGGGGCTGAGCAGGGAGCGGGGCGCGCGTGCGCTTGGCCAAGGTCTTAGCTTCTGGGTTTAGCTCCAGAGCTGTCCTAGAGTTGTTCATGGGGTGACGACCGCCATACCTTGCCCCGGTTCCTTAACCATTTTTGCTCTGTGCCAACACCTCTTTTTTGCACTGAAGTCATTTATTATGATTCATTTATTATTTTTTATTATTAATTTTATTAATAGTATTTTAATTTTTTATTATTCATTAATTGACGAAATATCACTTGATCTGTGGCAAGCAGTATGCTAGCTGAGGATCTTGATCTGAGCAAAACAGCCTCTGCCCACTTGGAAATTAGGGTCTGATGAAGGCGACAGATTTTCAACAAGAAGTTCCAAGTCATGTAGGGGTGAGAGGGGATAGTTCTGTGGAAGGTACCTCATCTAGATCTGTTTTGGAAGAGGCCAAAACTGGCAGAAGGGGGACTGTTTGCCATGAAATGGTCATGTCAAGAAAGGGTGGGCACCCTTGGGCACTGTTGGCAAGAATGCATACTGGTGCAGCAAGTGTGGATGTTCCTCAAAATATTGAAACTGGAACTGCCATACGATCCAGAAATTCCACTTAAGTAAATATATCCAAAAGATTAAAATCATCGTGTCAAGAGATATTTGCACTCCCTAATTCATTGCAGCATTAGCCAAGATATGGAAACATTCTAACTGTCCACCTATGGCCGACTGGATAAAGAAAATGTTATATTCATATATATGAATGTTATTTTTACATATTATATGTTATTTTTTATATACAGAAGAATATTAATCTGCCATTAAAAAATAGATCCTATTATTTACAACAACATGGATGAAACTGGAAGGCATCAAGCTAAGAGAAATAAGCTAGAGAAAGAGAAATACTGTATGATCTCACTTGTATGTGGAATCTGAAAGAGTTGAAATCATAGAAATAGAGTAGAATGGTGGTTGCCAGGGTCTGGGGGTGGAGGTGGGAGAAATGGGAAAATATTGGTCAAAGAGTACAAACTTCCATTTATAAAATGAATAAGTTCTAGAGAGCTAACGTAAAGCATGGTGACTGTAGTTAATAATATTTTACTATATACTTGAAAGTTGCTAAGAGTAAATCTTAAATGTGCTCATCAGGAAAAAAAGATAATTATGTGAGGTGATGAAGGTGTTAATTAACCTTATTGTGGTAATCACTTTACAGTACAGACAGTTCTCAACTTAAAATGGTTTGACTAAACTATTTTTTGACTTTATGACGGTGTGAACGTGATACACATTCAGTAGAAACCATGCTCCCAATTTTGGATTTGGATCTTTTCTCAAGCTAACAATATGTGGTACAATACTCTTGTTACAATGCTGGCAGTGGCAGTGAGCTGCAGCTCCCAGTCAGCCGTACCAGCAGGAGGATAAATAATCAACAGACTTGCAACCATTCTATACCCACACAACCATTCTGCTGTTCATTTTCAGTACAGTATTTCAATAAATTACACGAGATATTCAACTCTTTATTATAAAAGAGTCTCCATGTTAGATGATCTTGCACTACGATAGGCTAATGTAAGTGCTCTGTGCATGTTTAAGTAGGCTAGGCTAAGCTATGATGTTCAGCAGGTTAGATATATTCAATACATTTTCAACTTACAATGGGTTTATTGGGACTTCCATTGTAATTCAAGGAAGATCTGTATATGTGTGTATCAAATTACTGTATTGTACACCTTAAACTTATATGTCAATTATATCTCAATAAAGCTGGGAAACAAATAAGAAAGGATGGTTTCCTCAAAAGACACTGTTAGCACATGAAAAGATGTTCAACATCATTATCCACCAGAGAAATATGCATTAAAACCACAATGAGATATCACTACATACCTATCAGTATAGCTAAAATAAAAAATAGTGACAAAAAACACATGCTGACAGGATATATAGACACTGAATCACTCATGCATTACTGGTGGGAATGTACAATGTAAAATGTATCACGGATAATGGTACAGTCACTGTAGAACACAGTTTGGTAATTTCTTAAAAAACAAAAGATGCAGCTACTCTTAAGATCCAGCAATTCTGTTCATGGGCATTTATACCAGAGAAATGAGAACTTATATTTACACAAAAACCTGTAAATGAATGTTCATAGCAGCTTTATTCATAATAGCTCCAAAGTGGAAACAACACAGATGTCCTTCGACCAATGAATGGAAAAAAAACAACAAATGAGGAACACTATTCAGCAGTACAAATGAAGGAATAACTCGTAACAACTTGGATGAATTTCCAGGGAATTATACTACGTGAAAGAAGCCAGATTCAAAAGTTAAATACTGTATGATTCCATTTATGTAACGTTCTTAAAATGACAAAATTATAGAGATAGAGAGGAGATTAGTGGTTGCCAAGGGTAAGGGAGGAAGGAAAGGAGGGAGATGGCTATGGCTATTAAAGGGATCCTTGTGATGGACTATTCTGTATCTTGACTGGTGGTCACAGAAATCTACACATGTCATAAATTACATTAAACACAACACACACACAAATGAGTGCCTGTAAAATTGTCAGAAACTGAATAAGATGAATAAGACAGATGGATTGCATCAATGTTCATTCCCTGGTTGTGATATTGTACTATGGTTATTCAAGATGTTACCATTGCAGGAAACTGGGAGAATGGAATACAAGATCTCTCTGTATTATTTCTTACAACTGCATGTGAATCTACAATTATCTTAAAATAAAAAGTTGTTAAAATAACTCTTAAAGAATGAAAAGACAAGCCACAGACTAGGAGAATATTTTTGTTAAACACAAATCTGCTAAAGGACTTGCATCCAGAATACCTAAAAACTCTTTTAACTTAATAATAAATAAGTAAACAACTCAATTTATTTCTTTAAAAGGGGGGTGAGGGGATTCAAAGATTTGACAGACTTCTCACTATCTGGATGACAAATAATTACATGAAAAGATGTTTAACATAAATAATCATTTCTGATGCAAATTAAAACCACAATGAAATACTTCTATACACCTCTTAGAACAGCTAAAAGTAAGGGGGAAAAAACTGGCAATAGCAAGAGCGAGCACAGGCACAGAGCACGTGGAACTCCCAAACATGTAAGATGGACCAGTCACTTTGAAAAACAGTCTGAAGAGCAAAAAGCTTTGTCATTAAAAATCCTTAAAATAAGGCTTCTGCCACTCACTCGGTGGATGGCTTGGCCACATTATTGAAACTATCTGAGACTCAAGTTTCCTCATCCATAAAATGAGGAAAATGAAATCAATTTTGCAGGATTCTCATGAGAATCAAAGATAATGTAGATAAAGGACCTAACTATGCTATTTTCTAAGGAGAAAAAACAGTGTTTTGACACACTGAAGGATACACAGCATCTCTGCTCAGGGCAAGGGCAATGTCTTAGTCTTCATACCTCCGAGTAAAGTTTGGTTCTCTTGTGCCTCTGAGTGTAGTTCACTAGAGGAAGCACTTAGTAAATGCTCAATTATTGTTTTCTGAATGAAGAGTTTATGTGTATTGTTTGTTTCAGGATGCATAAATACCTACATCTGCAATGGCTATGTCAGTGGTATCTGTTTATGCTGCAGAATGACAACGTAATCAGTCAACAAATTCCTAGGCTGTGCTCAGGGCCATAGTGTTCCTTTCGGGCACCTACCTGTATTTTTTGTATCATCTCATACTTGTATTGACATTCATCTCTTGCTTGCACGTTTTGCCCAAATGCGAAACATTAGTTTGGGGGAATCTGTGTGTGCACCTGACCGCTTCCTAGAAAGGCGTGTTAAGGGTGCGTGGTGAGGCACAGCCTCTGTGAGTGTGCAAACAGGCACATACACACGCGTCTGCCTGTGTGAACATGTGTGCCCGGGAGCTTGTCTGTGGCTCGGTGCAGGGTCTGAGCCCGCAGGGGCAGCCTGGGAGGGAGAGGCCGGGTGTCTGCCCGCGTCCCTCACAGCGGTGCGCAGGTATCGATCTGCGTGGCTGACTGGGAGCCTCAGCTGGTGCGCCGGACTCCAGAGTCTCCGACGCCCCATGCTGAGACCCCCACCCACCCCAGGCCCCACGCGTGCCGCCCCTCCCCCGGCCCAGGCGGCCCGCCGCGCCGGCGCCCTCGCTGCTCGGTCCCGTACCCCTTGTTGCTGCTTCCGGACAGTGGGCTTCACCCTGGCGAAAATCTGGATGGTCTGCTTCACCATCTCCTCCCTGGCTTTGCACTGACCCTTGACCTCTCTCAGGCCCTGGCTCGCAAAACTTCTGACTCCCACCACTTCCGGCGAGCCGCAGCCTTAGCAACAATAACTAGGGACACTACCCAAGGAGCACCGCGCCAACTGGGCCCGCCTCCTCTCCCTAATTGGTTGCAGGCGGGACGGGGAGGACTGAAGGGGAGCCTGGCGGCGAAGTTGGGGTGGGGCTGAGCAGGGAGCGGGGCGCGCGTGCGCTTGGCCAAGGTCTTAGCTTCTGGGTTTAGCTCCAGAGCTGTCCTAGAGTTGTTCATGGGGTGACGACCGCCATACCTTGCCCCGGTTCCTTAACCATTTTTGCTCTGTGCCAACACCTCTTTTTTGCACTGAAGTCATTTATTATGATTCATTTATTATTTTTTATTATTAATTTTATTAATAGTATTTTAATTTTTTATTATTCATTAATTGACGAAATATCACTTGATCTGTGGCAAGCAGTATGCTAGCTGAGGATCTTGATCTGAGCAAAACAGCCTCTGCCCACTTGGAAATTAGGGTCTGATGAAGGCGACAGATTTTCAACAAGAAGTTCCAAGTCATGTAGGGGTGAGAGGGGATAGTTCTGTGGAAGGTACCTCA